AAGTATAGAACGACCTACGTCATTTCCAAAAAAGTCATCACATGTTAGAAAGCCATTTACATACACAGGTAACTTCAGACTGAATGAGTGCTTATGTTGGGCTAAACTAGTATCTTACTTTAGAGTTCTCCTGAACCTAGGTATAGCCCTAAGTTTTTTTCTGGTATCAGGGAAAAAAAAGAAAGAAGAAAGAAAAGAAAAAAGAAAAGAAAAGGAAAGAAAGAGAAAGAAAGAAAAAAGAAAGAAAAAAGAAAGAAAGAAGAAAGAAAGAAAGAAAGAAAGAAAGAAAGAAAGAAAGAAAGAAAGAAAGAAAGAAAGAAAAAGAAAGATAAATTTCTGAGGGGGCCCAGTTTTAGGGAGGCCTCCACACATTTGTGACTTTTATTTTCGGGATTCTGATCAGTTTGTCACTGTGAAGGCTGGAGAAAAATCCCCTCATGCTTCCAGCAGGGGGAGGGGAAAAACTACCATTTTGAAATGCACCCAGAGTTCTCTGTGCTCCTCAACAAGACTAACCCTCAGGGGAAATTAATTTACAACTGTCTAATCTACTGAGGTTTTACCAATGCCTAACCGCCCTGGGGAAAGGGAAATACCCAACTCATGTTCACTAAAAGACCAAAATCTAATTATAGGACTATAGAAAACTTCCCCCAACCCCCACCTTACTACCACATCAATCCAGTTCCTGTATAATAATAGAGAATTACAGCTAAAAGAACTGCAGGCCGTAGACCGTATTTAAGAAGTTTCTAGGAAAACCCAAAACAAAAGGAGAGACAGAAACAGGACACTAAAGGAAATTTTAGTCTCTGACACCACAGCTACAGTAAACGGTAAATGCCACCTAACTCCTGGTCAGATAAATATAAAACTTCATACTAAAGGCCTATCTTAACTCAGTTCCTTTTACCCAGTACATCATATATGGCTTTCAACAAAAAGTTAAATAGCAAGCTAAAGGCAAAAGGAAAAATACTCATAGACTGAAGAAATAAAGCATGCTCAGAACTAGACACAGACATGGCAGAGATTTGGGAATTAAAATAACTATGATTAATATGCTAAAAACTTTAGTGGAAAAGTGGACATCATACAAGAACTGATGAGCAATGTAAGCAGAGATGTGAAAGTTCTAAGACACACAAAAAGGAATTACTGGGGCTCAAAAACTCTGTAAAATAAATGAAGAATGCTTTGATGGGCCTATCAGCAGACTGAACACAGCCAAGGAAAGAATCAGTGAGCTTGAGGATATATCAATAAAAATTTCAAAAACTGAAATAAAAGAATAAAAAAGATAGAATCTAAGAACTACAGAATTTTTGAAAAAGGTATAACATACATGTAAGGGAATACTAGGAGGAAAAAGAGAGAAAAGGACAGAAGGACCATTTGAGGTAATAATGGCTGAGAATTTTCCAATTTAATGACAGATACCAAACCACAGATCCAGAAAGCCCAGAAGATAACAAGCAGGATAAATCCCCTCCACCAAAAAAAAACTATACCTAAGCATATTACATTCTACTGCAGAAAATCAAGGACAAAGAGAAAATCTTGAAAGAACAGAGAAGAAAACAACTTACCAACAGAAGAGTGAGAATAAGAATTATATCAAACTGTTCTTCAGAAACCAAACAAGAAAGAAGAGAGTGGAGTGAAATAAAGTATCAGGGAAAAAAAGGACCACCAACCTAGAATTTTGTGTACCCAAAATCATCCTTCAAAAGTAAAGGCGAAATAAAGACTTTCTCAGACAAACAAAAATTGAGGAATTTGTTGCCAGTAGACCTGCGTTGCAAGGAATGTTAAAAGTTCTTCAGAGAGAAGGAAAATGACATATGTCAGAAAACCAGACCTACATAAAGAAGAGCACTACAGAAGGAATAAATGAAGGTAAAATAAAATTTTTAATTTTGTTATTCTTAATTGACCTAACAGATAATAGTTTGTTCAGATAATAATAGCAACAATGTATTGGGTGATTAAAGCTTATAGATAAGTGAAATGAATGATAGCAATATTGCAGTATTGTGTTATTTGAAAGTGGACTTGTCTTCATTGAAAATGTGTATTACAAACTCTAGGACAATTGCGAAAAAGTGTTAAAAAGAAGTATAATTGATATGCCAAGACAGGAGAGAAAATGGAAAATGGAATCATATAAAATGCTCAGTTAAAACCAGACAGAGAAGGCAGAAGAGTGGAAGACAAAACAAAAAACAAAAAATAAAAATAAAAACACCAAAAAACAGAACCAAGGCAATGAATAGAAAATAGTTACAAATGTGGTATTTATTAATCCAACTATATGAATAATCAATTTAAATGTCAGTGGTCTAAATACACTAATTAAAAGATAAAGATTCTCAGAGAGGATTTAACAGAAAAACAACACCCAACTACATGTCAAGAAGAAACCTACATAGATTAAAAGTAAAGGAATAGAGAAAGAGAGAACATGCTAACACTAATCAAAAAAAAAAAAAAATCCGGAGTAGCTACATTAATTTCAGACAAAGCCACTTCAGATGAAGGAAGATTATCTTCAGGGATAAGGAGGGATACTGTGTAATGATAAAGGGGCAATTCTCTAAAAAGGCATAACAATCCTTAATGTGCATGTGCCTGTAATGCAGTTCTGATGTTGAATACCTGGAGTTCATGCAGACTTTACAGATTAAGGGCTCAGTTCTCCACAAACTCCCTTCACATCATACACCAGCTACAAGCTACAGGGTTCCCAGGAAACCTCACTTCTGATCAACTGGCTACAAATTCAGGGGTTACCACAATCCTCCTAAGTTTGATAATTTGCTAGAATGACACATAGCACTGAGCTAAGTGTTTTACTTTTTCTTACAATTTTATCACAACAGACACAAATCAGTGCCATCCAAATGAAGAGACACATAGAGTGAGATCTAGGAAAGTCCCAAATATGAAGCTTCCTTGTCCTTAGGACATATCACCCAGCATATTAACATATGATTACCAGCCAGGGAAGCTCACTCAAGCCTCGGTGACCAGAGTTTTTATCAGGGTTTCATTATATAGACATGAGTAATTGAATCATTGGTCTGAACTCAATATCTAGCCCCCCTCACTTCCTGGAACATTACTATAAAGTTACAATAATTAAGATAATGTGATAGTGGCACAAGGCTAGAAAAATGAATTGATAGAATAGAGAGGTCATATATAGTCATTTGATTTATGAAAAAGATCCTTCTTTAATTCAGTAGAGAACAGTTAGCCTTCTCAATAAGTGATACTGGAACACACATCTATATTTAAAAAAAAGAACCTTAATCATTATTCATACTATGTTCAAAAAGTAATGTAAAGTAGATGTAAACCTAAAGCTGTAATTTTCTAGAAGAAAAGATATGCATGATGTGTGCCCACGTTAATGATCTTGGAATAGGTAAAGATTTTTTAAACAGTACATGAAAAGCGCTAATCGTAAAAAAGTTAATAAATTGAAATTGATTAAAACTTCTATCAAAAAAACTTCATCAAGAAAGCAAATAGGCAAGGATTTGAATCTAGAATATATAAAGAACCACAAATATAAAAAAGACAAAAAAATACACAATTATATATTCGCAAAAGACTTCAACAATGTATATACAAGAATGTTTGTAGCACTTTCACTCATGATAGTCCAAACCTAAAAACCACCAAATGTCCATCAACAGGAGAATAAATAAATCTAGTGTGGTTTATTCACATGATGGAATATTTTAGCAATAAGAAAAGAACAGACTATGGATACACACAAAAACATGGATGAATATCAAAGAACTACGTGAAGGAAAGAATTAAGACTCAGAATAGTGCATACCCTTTGATTTCTCATATAAGAAATTCGACAACAGGCAAAACTAATCAATGGCAATAAAAGTCTGAATAGTGATTGCCTCTTTGGGGCAGGGGAGAGTATGGAGATAATTGGGAAAGGATTTTAAGGGGAATGTTAGGGATGCAGAGAAGGGGAAAGGTGATGTGGCCTTCGGAGTCAGATTGGAGAAAAAAGAGAATCCAGTAGCTCTAAAAATGGAAGTTCCATAAGGAGCCTTCTGCTTTCTGAGTTCTACTAAACCAAGAAAAAAATTAGCAAAGAAGGTCTACACCAATACACAGAAGGCTCTTTTGGTTTCTGTTTTTCTTCCTCGAATCCTACATTACATAATTTTATACAAACTGCAGGGGGAAAATGAGGTTAATGTTGATTTCAATGTATATCTTCATTTATTCGCAGGCACTTGCCTGCCATTGGGGACTTGCTTAAAGAGCTGGCTCGTGGCTAAGCCTGGCTTTGGACTCTGGTAAGGCCACATACCACCATTCACTTACTGAATGCAAGAGTCAGCACTCACTCTTCATTCACCTGTAGGCCCCAGCTCCTGATACCAAACCCTACTTGGGTTTGAATGCCATGCCAGCTGCCTGCAAGCCCTGAGGGAAATACTCCAATCTAGAAATGGCAAAGTACATTTGTCTCATGCTAACACCCATTTACTAGTATTACAGTTACAGAAATGTGTTGAGAAGGATTCTGAATCTACATCTGTTCTCAGTGGGAAAAATTTGTGATTGATTAGCAACGTCGGCTTTAGGAAGGTGGAATTACAAGTATAGGTCGTGATTGGTTAGCCCTGGATCACAAGAAAAATGCTTACTGAATCAATAAATTAACATGCTTTTTGTCCCATTTGGGATAGGAAGGAGACAAAGTTTTAAAGACTCGTTTAATCCTCAGGTTCCAAGGCAACAGATAATATGCCCACAGGGGACCCAATTGATTCCTGGGAGAAGGAGAATCTGGGGGAGTTTTCCCACAGCAGGAAGAACGGTAACAGGCCCATGTTCTCTCTGACATGGAAAAAAATTTCTCTCATCTTTTGTTTCATTTCTAAAAATGTTCAGTGAAAATACAAGTTGTTTCTCTGCAGTTTCTTGAATTTTAAAAAGTCTATCGCCTTCTCTTTGTTTTTTTTTTTTAATTGTGATAAAATATACATAACAAAACTTACCATTTTAACCATTTGTAAGTGTATGGTTCAGTGGCATTAAGTACATTCACCATGTTGTGAACCATCACAATCAGTCATCTCCAGAATTTTTCATCTTTCTCAACAGAAACTCTATACCGATTAAATGGTAACTTCTTATCCCTTCTCCACCCAGCCTCTGCCAATGACCCTTCTACTTTCCATCTTCATGAATTTGACTACTCTAGGTACCTCATATAAGTGGAATCATACAGTATTTATCATTTTATCACTGGCTTATCTCTCTTAGCATAATGTCTTCAATGCCATGTTGTAGCCTGTGTCAGAATTTTCTTCCTTTTTAAGGCTAAATGATGTTCCATTGTGTATTTAAACCACATTTTGTTTATCCATTCATTCATCAATGGACATCTGGATTGTTTCCACTTTTTAGCTATTGTAAATAATGCTACAATAAACATAGATGTGTAAATATCTATTTAAGTCCTTGCTTTCAATTCTTTTGGGTATATACCCAGAAGCGGAATTGCTGGATAATGATAATTCTATTTTTAATTTTTTAAGGATCTGACTTACTGTTTTCCATACCAATTGCACCATTTTATATTCCCATTAGTAGTGCACGAGAGTTCCAATTTCTCACCAATACTTATTATTTTCTATTTTTTTTTTTTTTTAAATAATAGCCATCCTCATGGGTCATTTTGGGTTTTAAAGATCATGCTAGTTGTTTCTAAAGTGTCATGGCAAATCCAATGCAATAGAATCTTTTCGTAGAGGATTTTCTTTCCCTTTAATTTTCAAAGTATCATCATATCATTCTTTAATTAAAACACCACACTTTCTTAAAATATACTTAAACTTTTATTTCCCCAATAGTACTATCTGATCAGACAATTAATTCTACCAGCTTCTAAGAACTGACCCAAATGATCTTGAAATAATTCCATGTGTCTCCTGAGCCCCTCTGAAGCCCTAGAGAAAATGTTGCCTTTGGAGAGGTTTTCTGATGGCAGAGCTGGTGGTTCATAGGTAGTAGGCGTTGACCTCCTTCCTGCCAGAGCAAGGAGCCCTGGTTTGACCATGACCCAAGTATTTATGGGGCAACTTCTTGTATAAAGTACTGCATTTGAATAAAGATGCATCAGACATGGTCTCTGACCTCAAGGGGAACTGCCAGTTGGATTGCATTAAAAATGGTAGGTGAACAGTGTATTTATTTCAAGTTGCTGGAGAGAAAGTGTTTTAGTGCTCTGTAGGTTTCTCCTGTGTGGCTGTGCTCATTGAGGAAGGTTACCTGCAGGAGATGGGACACATCTCGGACCTTAAAGGCTGGGAAAGCCAGAGAGGGGTGTGGTGTTAGGGGGAGTGAGGAACATTCCCGAGAGGGGGAAGAGCCTGAGTTAAGGGAGGAGAAAATAAGTCTGAGCTATTCATAGCCTCATTACAGGATGTCTAAAAGTCAATAAGAAGACTTCCGACATTACCTCTTATTCAATGGAGAGGTTTTTGAACTGAGAGGTGATGCCATCAAACTGCTGTTTAGAGGAGTTTTGTAGTGGCAGGGTGTGGATCAGATAGAAAGTAGAGTGTGCAGATAGGAGGGCCGTTGTGTTCTGTGATGGGAGGCTCTAAACCTCAGAGTAGGCTGGCAGTGACACTTAGGGTTTCCCATAAACACAAGCCCCTTTTTGTGTATTTACTTTCTGTCCAGATAACTGATGCCTTTAATCCTCCAGGCTCCTGACAACCCAGGCCTGTCTCCTGGTGAGCCAGTGCTGCTGTGTGCAGTCTGCCCTGCCTGCTCCTCTTCACACTGGTTTTCTCATCTTCCCACCCAAGCAAACCACCCACTGTGGCAGGAGTTAGA